CCCCCCCTTCACCTTACATTTCATTCCCTGGAATTGTTTTTGTACTCTTTAAAATATTTATTTATGTCAAGTTATAATAATGACTAAATTTTCGGGTCTAAGAACCACAAGTTGTCTCCTTCAAGAAAATGGAATTCATTTTTTTTGTGGCAAAGGGGGGCACTTGGATATCTTGAATAATATTTTGACAAGGCTTCACTAATCTTTTCAATGAATACGCACAACACAAAAATAATTTAGCCTATCAGATTGAAACGCACGACAAAATTCCTTGTCTATAATTAATATAATATGCAAAGGAATAGGTTAAATAATCAATCTTCTTTCTGAAGAGTAATGTTATATGAAATTCATCTTTATCCCTTATTTAGAATTTCATTATACGATTCTGTGAAAACGTAAAAAATACCCGATTTTTATTGTTCAAAAATTTTTCCCGACTAAATGATAACGCTATTTTTTAAAATAATATAATGAGAAATTTTTTTAGAAAGAGTTGAACATTTGGTACTAAATATAAATTGAAATTTAGACCTTCCCAATATAGTCAATTGGATGGTCAGTTCCCATTGAGTCCATTGAATTGAGTGACTTATGATCGGAGAATTATTAATTTATTTTTATATCAATATAATTAATTATTTTCATAAATGATGATTCTATTGAGATTCATGATTAGTGTTGTTTAAAAGGCGTAGATTTTAAAAAAAGACTCATTAAGATTTTAGCCAAAAGAATATTATGTCAGCCTCGAGATTTGGCAATAGGTCCAAACTTTTCTGCCATCTGAACAAATTCTCCGGTCATAGGAGCAGCCAGGATTTAGGTAAAGGTGAGGTTTTTTCCATAAATTTTATTAGAGGCCTTTAGGCCCACTTATTTTAGATCTTAGCCTATATTATATTTTTATAAAAAAATAATGGTTTTTTATAAAAATGCTTTTTTTCTAAAATATGGAATCCCCCCCCCCCCATTCCCCCACAGGCTACACTTATGTCTCAAGGCTTACATGATATTATTCTGGTTGATATCTTAATAAAAGCATTTTTAAAAATCGACAAAAATTGGACTTTTTAACAACCCTACCTATATATGACCCTTATATACTTACATTTATCTTTTATTCTAAGCTAGTATCTTTAATTTAAACAGTTAACCTAAAAATTTAGTTTTTTTGTTGGTTATATCTATAACAAAATTAAATGATTTTAAAATATCTAAAAATTTACATAAGCTAGTATCTTTAATTTAAACAGTTAACTCAGCATTTTAGCCAAAAGTATAATCTAAACTTGGGGATTTTGGCCAAAAGTTTGGACATTTGCACATATACTGTCAAAATTTCAAGGCTTGGGGGATAATATTTTGGGTAAAATTCCGTTTTTAAAAATTGTCAAAATCGAGCGTTTTAATAATACTACAATGAGCTATGTATGATCATCCATATGATTATGAGATGATTAAATTTTTGAGAATAAAAAAACAAAAACAGAATACAATTAAATTCATGTAACTTTTTTTTTATACAAAATAATATTAAATTTATGGCATTTATTCAAATATAGATTGTAAATAAAATCAATTTAAAATTCGGAAATATCGGATTGGTAAAAAATTTGTGGATCAGCACAGCTCTATTAATTTTATACAAATTTATTAACGACTCCCACAGTCACTCCTGTGCCAAGACGAGCCAAATAGATTGTATTAAATAAAAAATTTTACTCTCAAGGATCCATAATGATTGTTTCATCTATAGACATAATTTATCAAAATTACAAATTGTATATATCTTTACTATAATTTAATTTAATATTTATTCTCAACTTGAAACGCCTATATTTATATTTGTGCAATATAATATTTTGAATATTATTTTATTAAATTACGATTTACTTTTTAAAGATTAGATGGGAATATATTTTTTTGTTAAATTTTAAATTAAGTTTTATTAAAAGGGGGGGGGGTGATAAGTTTGTCATTAATTAGCAATTTTAAAATAATATACTATCAAATAGGATTATCATGGGATAGAGCTTCTACTTCTATGAAGTAAGAAACACCGATTTATCCAATGTCATTGATTAAGGGCGAAAGCCTGCTTATGACTCTTAACCCCTCATTCATCGTTAGCACGAATTCGAGGCGAATTAAACGTTTTTTTTAAACACGCCGATCAAGGAATTTGTTTTATACTCCTAAATTCCAATAGCGCCTTTTGTCAGCTTTTTTAATCATTTCTACGATTTCTCTTATATTATATTCTGAGGCTTAACGCAAACATCTTGGGACCTGCTGATAAAAAGGTGAATATCCTTATATGACCTCTACCCATAGTTAAGGGTATAATGATACCTATGAATCCATAAATGTGGAATATGAACTCCGTGCACATCAATTAATAATGACGAGATTCAAAATATAGAAAAAATGCTAGGAAATCTTTTCGCTGCAAATGTTCTTATTTTAAAGATGACGTGGCTGTTGATTAAAGATTGCCTTAAATTTTATCGCTCATTTATTGACCAACACAAGGAATTACTTAACTTTATTGAAATTAAAAGCCTGAGAGACAGAAAACTTAAATTTGTAATTATTTTATTACCTGAATTTTGTGAAAATTTTTATTAGTTACCGATTTTCCAAAATAGGTCTGAGGCTACCCCGGATTTGAGTACTTATCCTAAAATTTGCCCGTACTTGCAAAATGTTTAAAACTATCTCAAATTTTTCGGACCCTAAAACCGGGTCCAGAATCTTAGTTTTTTATATATAAGATAGTCTTTATTCCAGATTTCTGAATTTTTAAACGGGGAACACTTAAATCCCGCAGGAATATTATTATTTAAAAAGCGTGTAAATTTTAATCATAAATTATTAATAATACGCCGCCATTTTTGAATTAATTTTTTAATATTATTTTATTGCCTGCCACAGCTCTCGTTCTTCATCAATCTATCTTCCTCTCTCTACTTTTTTTTTTATATATTCGATTGTTAATTTAAATAAATAAATTTAATTTTAATTTATTAGTTTTTTTAAAAAAAATAATAATATAAATAAATAATAAATAGCATTATTTATTCACATCATCCTTCGTTTATTTATTTATTATTTTTCTATCTCTTGCTTATTGTTGCTTCGACGAAAAATTATCGGTTTTTTTTTGTTTGGACGACATTTTACTATGGTTTATGAATGTGAATGATAAGGTGGCTTTTGGATAATGAAAGAATGTTTAATTTAGCCAAAGCTACAAGGTATGTGCGAGTTTATTTACGCCGCTATCTTCATGGTTGAGTTCTATTTCAAAATAAAAACATCTGGAGGCAGTAAAATAAATTTTGGCTAAAAACGGTTTAACCCATCTATAAACGAGATTTAGACGGCTATAAATTAAGTAATTGCAAATAAACGATTACTTGTTAATATAAATAAACGTATTAGGCTCAATGTGCTCTTAAACCGCTCACCCAATATTTTAGCCAAAAATAATACGCAGGCTTGGAAATTTCGCTAATAAATGAAAGAAAGATTTGGAAGAAATCTCAGCTAAATAGATCCGTTCGACGCTAATCGCGATGCTTACCGCTTTCTACATATGCTCTAGTTTAAAAATAATTAAAAAAATAATACGGCCATCATTCATTCATTATGGACCTCAGCCATTAAATTATTCAAAAATAAAGATAAATTCAGATTTTTATTTTTGTAATTGTAAATGCGAAATATAATTAAAAAACATATATTTATTTTTATCAAATATAATAAGGCTAAATTTTTATTTTAATAACATTTGTTTTTTATTTATTTAAAAAAAAATAATATTTACATAAATTAATATTATTGTATCACATAATAAAACCATACCAAAAACTAACTGGAACTATTATTGAAAGATGCAACGCTTGAGAGCTAAAATAAATGTTTTTGTCTATCGATAATTATTAAATGTACCTGTCAGTCTCAGTGGTAGTGATGTATTTGGCCATTCATTAAATCTATATTAGTGCCCATACATAGAAGTCAGCTGTAAGTGCCATTTTAGGTTTGCGCGTCGATTAAAGGATATTATGGGCATTCTTATGATAAAATTAATTGCCATGAAAATCACGAAATGAAGCTACAGCCAACTCATATTTACAATCTAGTAGTTTATATTCATTATTGGTCAGGGGATTTTTATTGTTTTAAAAAATTCGCACCAGTTGGGTAATTGCTGAGATTTTTATTTTTTAAATCAGGAACTTCAAAAATCCTTTGTGGAAGAGAAATAAAAAGCAGATTTAATTAGCTTTTTATTATTTTCATGTAATTTTATTTATTTAAATACATTTATTATATAATAATTTATTATTTATTTCGATCGATAATGTTGTAATATATTATTTTCTCATTATTTATTTTTTCCTGTAGCTATTATTTTTTTTGTAACAAATAATAAATGTCTCAGTCCGCTGCTGACTTTATATCGAATAAAATAATCATAAAAATAGTTATTTAAATAATTTGGCCAAAATATTTTAATTTTATATGCTCATCATCGTGATTTTGGGGATATCTTTTATGGAGAAAAAAATAATAATGGCTTTCTTGTATATTAAGCAAAAATAAGAAATTTTTATTATGAACAATTTATTTATTTAAGTAAAAATTCCATTTTCTTAATTTTTTTGATGTGCCAAAAATACAAATTCACATAAATAATAAATTTAAATGCAAAAACAATATAATAAATAAATTTAATAATTAATATTTTTATTTTGTATAAGTAAGTAAAGTCTTGTCTGGTTTGGTTTTTCGATGTTTTTATTTATAATTATTATTGAATAAAATATTTATAAACAATAAATAATTAATATTTTCTTCTATTTGATGATTTGCTCATTTATCAAAAGAGAAATAAATTCGAAGAATTTTTGTTTACTACCTTTTAATAATTTTATAAATAATTTCATTATGGATTTTAAATAATAATTTGAAAAATATATTTTTGTATAAATTTATAAAAATTTTTAAAATTAAAAAAAAAAGTAAATTACATTAACTTTTCTATGTGATTGTTGATTCAGTGCTAAAACCAACCCTGAAATTTTATTTCAAACTATGCTATCTACAGTCAAAGGAAACAAGGAAAACTCTGTTACAAAGTTTAAACGCAACTATCGTCATACATTATCATCATCTTGGAATAATTCGTTTTTGAGTTATAATATCAAGAAACTTCGAAGCGATGACAATTTTATTTGCCAATTATCGTCTGCCTATTCTTCCGCCGCGCATTCGCTCTTCGATTTGACAACCAATCCTTACCTAACCCTGTTTTATTATTACTATTATTACGAAAAGTTACTTTTGTCATCTAATAATCATAGAACCCCGTCATCATATCCCGATTCTTCGGTAACATCCTGACGATTATTAATGAATTTCCAAAAAAATATTTATATTTTTAAAACTTAAAACAATGCTTAATCGAGACTTTATTACATTATTTACATTTAGAATTAATTATTCAAAAAAAAAATCAATTAATTTACCTCATGTAAATATTAATTTTGTACCACGTGCTAGGGTAATAAAAATTATCATGATATTATACAGATATAAATCACATTTTTGAATAGCTGGATTTAGGTTAAAGATTTTAAAAAAAATATTTCAACAAGCCCAAGATAATAATTCTTATCTGCCACCTGATTCAAAACACAGATATGAGATAGGGTTTATCGGCGTTGGCGTCAGTTTTTGAATTCTTAGTTTGACGCCGTTTCACTGTCAGGTTGCAAAAATTCTGGTTAGTTCCAAACCCCTTTTTAAGGGATCGGCAATAGCTATTTACCAACTTGCTGCTGCAATAGAGTAGGCCTATTCATTCCCTATATAAATCGAATAATGAATTATTCAAATCTTTTTAACAAGTTTATTCTTCGTAATTATACCAACTTTTTCCCATGAATACCAATTTTAATGAAAGAATTGAACGAATATAATCGATTCGTATTCATTTTTGAATAGGCCTACAAATAGCCTGTAGTTTTTTAAATTATTTTATTTTGGAAAGGTATTAAAAAAATAATGCAAATTTATTGATAAATATTTGTAAAAATTATTTTAATTTCTCGCTTCGAGCATTATAATTTCATAATAATTTTCGTTATTATTTTTTAAAATCATGTCTGATTATTTTTTCCTTTTTTTTATTGGCATAAAATTTATTTGTACATTTTTATTTTTTTGCATTATTACCATGACACTTGTTTAATTTGAGCAAATCAATGTATTGCTCGCGTCTCATATCTAAGGCCGCCAGAGTTGCTAGGTCTCTCCGATCAGCAGGAGACTCCCACTACTCTTTAGCCAACACGGATGGATTTATCTCCAGAAATTTTTAAATTTCTCCCTTATAATATAAATTTTGACCTGGCAACCTTTTCTAAGGCCAGCCACAAGCCAGGCTCAATTGGCTCGACCATAATCCTTTAAAATAAAAAGATGAGAAAGCAAATAATTATATTTTTTATTGAATTTATCCCAGTAACCCGACCAAACGATTACTATATAGATGTAGGGTTGAATAATTAAAAAGTGATAGCTTATAAGGCCTTGTCTAGTTATAACCTGACCAGTCTCCATACGACGGGAATTGGGAGCAACTTGCCTCCTTATATCTTTGAGGGGTTTAGGCTCCTAGGGGGACAGGGAGCAAAAAAATATTTTTCAGTTGCAAGTAGAGGAGGGTTATATCTCGACCCTGAGTCTGTCATGACCCAGGTTGATGAGCCTGCAGGTTTCTGATATGTATAAATATCGTGATACGTGATATACAGCGCTTCTGCCCTCTAGTGTTGAAGGTTCGAAAGAGCTACGATAGGTTTTCCTCATTTCCATCTAATTGAAATAGTTTAATTTAGGTAAGTAAAAATATGAGGAGCCCTCTACACGTTTGTGGGCAAGCCGCACCTACTTGTAGGCACAACATTCCGAAAAATATTGCTTAAACCTCTATAGGCTTATTAAAAAGAGTGGGGCAAAAAAAGAGCCTATACCCGAGAACTAAAGTGTAATTTAATTACTTTAAAGGTAAGTGATGGCTGATTTTAAGTTTAATTTCTTCAGTGTAAGTTGTGATTACTATCAATATTGAGATATAATGTTCATAGAATCTGTAAATAAATATGATTAAAATAAAAAAATATTTGCCTGATTCAACCCATACAATACAGTTATCACTTCAAATTTTTCACCCAAAATATATAGTGATTATAATTTTTTTTACCTTTTTGTTGAAATAAATGGATACATGCGAAAATTCCTAAATATCGTTTTTATAAAAAAAAATACATTTGTTGTTACTTGTTTTTTTACAAAGTTGTTTAAAATTTCGCATTACGAATATTCGGATATTTTTTTTTTAAACAGAGATTGAAAAAAAAAAATCTTAATCTTTGAATTTTTTTTTGAAAAACATTTTGATCAAATTTTATCTTAAAAATAGCCAAATTTTATTTTATAAGTAAATCTTTTATAATTTTTAAAGATTTTTTTTAAAATATGTTTTTTAATTAAATAATAAAGATTTTCCAAATATTAATATTTTTTCAATTTGTCTAGTTAGTTAAAATATTTTCTGAATGTCACAAACAAACATGAAAGAAACCTTAACACTGGAAAAATAAGATATATTAGAATATTTTCGTCCATAAAACAATTTGATAGAAAAAAAAGATTAGATAACTATTTTTGGAATCTCTAACGCTAGTGTTAAACATTTGTTTAGTTAAGTAAGACTCAAACTTCATCATTTCGCTGACTTTAAATTAGGCCTAATGATTGCTAATCTGATCTGCTAATAATTTATTTTAAAATAAATAGTGGAAGAATGATTAAATATCATATATTCTCGCTTTAAATTTTTTAAAAGTATCGATTAACGAATGATTTATTTTTAAAAGTAATTGTTATATGGCTCTATTTATATTAGCTGAACTCTTATGGGAAAAATTGACTTACTGTCAATATTTCCCATATATTTTTTTAAAAAAACCGTTAACTTTCATTTTTTTTCATGGAACTATCCTAAGTTGTTCTATAATGGCTCAATTCAAAAAATGTTCAACTAAAGAGGATTTTTTGATTTGATAAAATATATTTAAAATATTAAGTAAATAAAAAGAGTATGATTAATGGTTAGAGAGATGGATCAAAAGTTGTTTGTTGGGACAGTGCCTTCAAAAATAATTGTTAAGTAAAAGTATACAAACAGCTTTGAACTTGATGTTAATATCATACTTTTAGAGAAGTTCATTATGTCTGTCACGTCCCGTCCGGAATACAGTGTCTTAAGGCAGGGACTTTAACTCCGGGTCGGGAGGAGGACGGTGGTATGACGCATAATCATTATTGAAATATTTCTATCTTTTGCTAATTTATTTAGGAAAGGCAATAGGCGGTAAGAATTTCAAGGGGGGTAATTATCGTCATTGGCTTAGGGGGTGTAGAATCTGTTTTAATCACGAATTCGTATTTCAAAATAAAAGATCGAAACGAAGGAAATTTATATATTTTTTAAATAAGCTTAATTTGAATTGAAAAATTAATAAATATAATTGACTTGGGTACTCTATCATTGAATCTTTCCCGTCTTAGGCATAACATTTGTTAAAGATGAGGCGGACGTTTGATTTTCGCTACTTATATTATATTTGTCCCAACAATTTTAAGAATGTTGGCTTCCATTTTATGCCAAAATTTGTATTTCCTTTTATGAGAAAGGCCATTTTCTTCTTAACCCTGCATAAAAATACATATTATATTTCGCCTCGAATTCGTGCTAACTATGAATTATAGCGCGTATTCGCGGCGTAGAATACAAAAATATAGCGTATTTTATATAATTCGCTCTAACTATGAATGGACAGCTTATAAGTAAATCCCTCCCTCCCTTCTCCAACCGTTTTACAATTTCGATTACCTAGTGGAATCTATCCACTTTTCTGTCTTTATGAAGTAAATTCCCGCAAAATATAAATAATTTGCTATTTAAAATTTTTTATTTTGACCCGTAATTTAGGATATTCCATTTTTGTCCATTCCCCAACATCAACGCATGAACGAAGATATGTTAGTGTCCTCCTACACGAGCAATAAACACCAACAACCGGCGCACCAGAGAAACAATAACGTAAACCATACAGAGCCAACGGACCTTTCCAGTTACGACGTTAATCAAGTATTTTAATAAATGCGGGATTTCGTTCTCTTTTACATTTACACATTTAGGCTCATTTTGTTTTCTAATACCCTTGATTGTTATAATGTTCTATCTCAATGTTTGAGCTAAATTTCTAGTTGCGAGATTTGCATAAAGTGACTTCACAAGGGAAGCCATTTTTTAGGCCACCAGCATGTATAAATATAGATACGAATTTTGGGAGTGGACCCAGCGAAAATGAGGTGGACTAAATTTTTATATGTTTCCCTTTAAAAGTAGAAAACTTAGAAGTATTTCTCTGTTTTGCACCATGTATAATGTTTTTGAGACCATTACATCGATAGGATGTTGAAAAGAAAATATATTGCTTTTGCTCGTTCCTTTGAATGGGCATTAGATTATCATTTTTTTTGTTATATTTTTGACCTTATATAAATTTTTGACCACTTATGATTCATAGTTAATTGATATAAATTGAACTAAATTTTTATTTATCTTAAGGAGTCAAGTGTATTTGATCGATCTTAATTTTTACGTGTTACAATTTAATTTTTTTTTTGCAGAATAATGATGATAGGAGCGAATACCAAAACGCCCAAACAAACCACAAGCTTTACAGTTCTCAAAATAGCATACCCAATTGCATGGACGAACAATTATATGCCCAATATAGCTCTAGTAAGTAGTAGTACATCCTGAATTTTATAAGAGACCTGCAGAGGTATCATTTGTACAACCTGGCCAGGATTTTTTTAAAAAAATATTTCGAATAGGCCCGAGTATTTTTTTAAAAAATTTTTTAGTGACCCGGGTATTTAAAAAAATTTTCTAGGCCTGCCTGGCCCAGATATATATAAATTGTCATCTTATCCCGGACTTTGATATATTAGCGATTAATACCGATATCACATTTTGGAAGCAGATCCGATATTACTTATATTAACTTGATATTGGCCGATTGCGGATTCGTTATTATATCTTATTTTTATGCTGTAAACATACTAATTGTTCGATTTTTTAATGCATACATTTAGTGTTGCAAAATTGTTCCATTTAAGTCTTTTAAAAAACGGCTAACTCACTATTTATCCAGAAAAATACTATGCTGCCTTTGTTCTTAGATGTCACAAAGGTTTTGACATCTATTAAATACTATACTTGCTGATTATTTAAGATTTCTATAAAGAAATTTAAAAATCTATTACCAAGTTTAATTCATGATTTTAGAAGAGTCAGTGTGGTGTAATATATAACACTAAATACATTTAACCATTCAATACTCCAGTGAAAAAAATGACGTTAGTACTCGGATGGGGTTTAATAGACCCTAATTTCAAATGTATATATCTCCAGTTATATTCATTATTTTTATTTAATATTTGGATATAAGATAGAACTACTTGATAAAATATTTATTTATTTTTTATTTCTTAAGCTTAGATTAAAGATGATGAAGATAATTATAATTGTGCCAAAATTTTCTAAAAATAACTTTATCATATAATTATGATAATTCATAATAAGGATCTCTATTCTTCAATATAAAATAAAAATTACACTAATACTTTTAAACATAAAAAAAATATATAACATTCAAATATGTTAAATTTGACATGCATAACATTTATTACAAAAACATTAATGTGTTCTAAACATAAATTTAATTTACATATTTGAAAAAAAATATTTTGAATGGTTAGATTTATAAATTCCAGCTAAATAAAGATTTCCCGATAAAGTCTATAATTTAGTAGAACTTTCATATTGGTAGTTTTACATATAATTTTAATTTTTTCATTGGTATGATAAATAATCTCTTCAATCATTTTTGGTGTTATGAACAAGTCAAATTCTGGAGTGCCAGCTTCTTTCCCTTATTCTTTTACTACTGGCAGATGAGTAACTAAATTTTGTTGATGAGTTCTTATTCGTTGATTGGGAAGATTTTTTTTCCATTTAGTAAACTTATTTTTTTTAGCTAATTTTAAAGAGATACATACTATGATAAATGATTTCATATTTACCTAAATAATATTAAGTTTATTGTTTTCAACTAACATTTCTTCATCTAATTCAGCTTGTGTATCATGATCACTATCATATATAAAATCTTCATCCTCGCTATTAATTGTATTGTCATAATCACCTCAAATAAAATGATATTTAAATTTTATAATATAGTAGTATATATTTATAATTTTAAAAATTTAAAAAAAAAAAATTTTTTAAAAATTACAAATTTACTCTGGTGGGGTCTCACAAACCCAAATTAGTCAAATATTTATATCTAAACTACTCAACCAAAATATATGAAATTTGGAATATAGATAAGATATATTTTATGAAGCTACTGAAAAATCCAGATCATAATATTTAACAGTTTTTATGTAATATCATTTCTAGCATTGGGGAGTATTGAAGGGTTAATTAAAATAATCTTAACAGTTGTTCGAATCACTATATCAATAATTTTGTTGGTGAAATTTAATTTGAGAGGTACCAGGAGAGGAGTGGTAAGACAGTTTTTTTTAAAAACGGTTATATCCCACTCATAATTTTAATTACTAAATTAATTTTACATACTAATTTTTTAAAGATATAAAGAGTTGTTAAAGATATCTTTCAAAATGGATATAGTTTAAATACAGATATACTGTCCAAAAACTTAGATGCAGATACTTTTTATAAAAGTGTATCTAGAACAGGTACCGCAATTTTGTATCTTTAGCAACTTTCATTATTATAGTATAACATTTTTACTATAAATAATCTATTAAAGACATTAAGAAAATATTCATAAAGTTTATTGTACCAATATTTAATAAAATATTATATCGTTAAATTATGATAGTTAAAATCAGGGTTTTAGCCACCAAAAAAAGGAATATATCTTATAATTATTAAAATAAGAACGCACTAGACTTGCAGAAAATTGGTTGATCAAAATAAGAAGCTATATATTGAAAAAATAATCCAAATCTTAATAACAATTTTAAAAATCTAGGTATTTTTTGTATTCCTTAGTAAATTATTGGTAACTCTATTTTATAGATATCAATCTGCCAATGCGATTTTTAATTAAAAACATTCTAGGGACAATAGGAAATATATCTATTCAAAAAGTATATATATTTATAGCAAATGGGCTATTCCAACTAGTCATCTGCATTGGGCCTAATTTTTAAAGCTTGGCCCATACATTTTTTTATAGCTTGGCTCTGCAGATCCCTAATTCCAACAATATAATTATATTTTAAAAAAAATATCAGACTATGACGAACAACGAATAAAACCTTCTCACCACCAGTTTCCTATACGTCCTAATCAAGTCAACGTCATTCGGGAGAATAACAACGATAACTTTATTCAGACCATGGTCCAAGATTTTCGTTCAAATCAGCAAGAATCCCGAAACTTAGAAGAAGAAAATAATCATATGGAAAACACAGCGAAAAAAGAAATGTCGGAAGATAGTCAAGGGCTGGGCCTCAGAAATTTGGCCAGGGTAGCTTCTACTTATCATCAACAACAAATGACAACACTGATACAGCAATCGCAAAATAATGACGGGAAAGGCATGGAGGAGCCACTCCATGTTGTCTTACCTTCCGGTGTCCCATTTATCAATCAAACTCAGGATATTACTTTGAGTAGAGGGGACAAAAAAGATTTGGATGGAAATAAGATTGGGGCCTTGCAAAATAATAATAGCCGGGTAGAAGAGCAAATGGAAAAACATTCCTTCGAAATACTTACTTTGACTCCCAACAGCCTTAATTCGAATAAAAACCTAACCCCAACCTCCATTTCGATCAATAACAATCCCACGAATGACGCCTCGTCTCACCCCATCAATGTTAATTTGCCGAGTTTTAGTTCATCCTTTATGGTCAACAATAATGGCACGAATGCTGACACTGCTATAAGTGCCGCCAATAGTAATAAGGAAGTCAAATGTGACAATAAAAATAATCCCGTGCTACCACCACAAAGTGACCTGGGGACTGATTCTGCGACATCTGCTCACAAATTATTGCCCGGTACATTTATTTGGCGTTATTTTTGTAATATAGAAAAAGAGATAAACTAATTAATACCCTAGCCTTTTACCTATCATTTTATTTAAAAACAATGTCTAGACTGTTTTGTTGAATTTCATCCTTATTTGTATATTAAGATCTTTTTGCTTGAATTTTTATAGCAGTATATTTCGATTATGGTTAACATTATCAGCTTTTAAAATATAATTACATTTATTTAAATGTTAGCTGTTATAAATTTTTTCAAATTTTTCTCTTAACTTGTATACATCAATATCATAATAAGCAGATATATTGTTAAAATATTCAACTTTAAGCCTGGGATTTAATTTTGGTTATTGTTTTATCATCGCCAATTAAATTATAATGTCTAATAATTTATCATATGCTACTTTAAATTGCTAAAGGATTTATGGAAATCAGGTTTTCCATTTTTTAGGTGTTCAAGATTTAGAATATAAGGTATAACTAAATCATGGGATAATTCTCCCCATATACTATATTTGTAGTTTCTTATAAGGGCAATAGAATAGCTTTAATTTTTATAAGATTCTCCCATATGTTAACAAAATATTATATTATTCCCTAATTATAAATTTTAGGTTACCTTTGATATTTGTTATTACTTCATTGACTAACTTTGTAATAGCAGGCCTTACCCTATTTCAATCATTTGGTAGGTGTGATTACACCTTATTTCACTGGTTTTAAAAAAATTTAGGGGAGGGTCTAGTGAACTACATATGTTTTAAATAAATTTAGCTTTTTGGGAGAATTACGAATCATTCTGATTACGCTTCTCAGTTTTAAAATAGAAGAATTCATAATTTTTAAAATTTCTTTGGAAATTAAATTAAATGTTCATTTTTTTTGTTATCGCAATAACTAAAAAAACCTACGGCTCTTCCAAGTTAAATTTCTTTTTTATAAATAGTGTTGTTAAACGGTTCGTTTTGAGCCGATTTTTCAAAACGGCTAACAATATTTCATCCAGAAAAATATTACACAAACCTGAAGATTTTGCTCATAGAAGGAACAAAGCTTTAGATATATTATCGAAATTTCAAGGCTTAGGAAATATTTTTCTGACAAAATATTTAGTTAGCCTCAAAACGAGCCGTTTAACAACACTAAAAATAGATATAATGTAAGTGAATAAAAAATATTAAAAGAAAGGGCGAATCACCTGGAGCTTTCAGATTCAAAATTTATAATGTAAATAATTACTTCAACATTTTTATTTAAATATTTCTTAATATTTACTAAAAAGCTTTTAATGGAGTTACAAATAATGACATATAATTTTTATTTTTTAGTATCATTGTTTTTTAAACTTATCTCAATTTTATAAAATCGGATTTTCGAAAAAGGTCATTTTTGGCCACTGATATCTCAGGAACTATGAGCACCAGAAGTCTAAGATTTTGGATTCAATGCCTTCTAATAATGTTCTCTCAGTATGAATTTTATCATTATTAAAAAGGTAGGGCCGAAGAGTTATCGATTTGGTAGGGAATTACCCAAATACGGTATCGGCCGATACTCAATGCCGATACAAGTAATACTGCCTTTTATTAAAGAATAATACATAATGATTAAATACATTTAAATTAACAAGGTTAAAAATTTATATTAAAAAAAATTTACAATTAAAAAATAACATAAATGCACAGATCTTCATATTTATAAAGATATTCATTGTCTGAGATTAGTTTTCCTTTAAAGTTTTAAGGAAAAAATGATGCATCATTACTAAAATCGACTAGTGTAAGGGACAAAGCATTTTCTAAGAAAGAATTTGGTAAAATTTCTGCAATTTGAAATGAACAAATCTATACAAGTATAGTCCCAGACTAGAGGTTGGCTTCTCTAGCCCAATGAGTGAATGTTATTCCACTAGAATTCATTATTTACGATATTTAATTCTATCTGATCTAGTGTTGATCGAATGAAAACGGTAGAAAGGGCTTTACGATAACATTTATTGAACGATGGCCTTAATGCCTGCTTTTTGAATAGCTGCAATTTAATGTATGGTGTCCTTATTTATCGACCGATCTTGCATAGGCTGAGATGCTTGGGATCACTATACTTGTATTGAACTGGATGCCAATTGAGATCCGGACTTCTTTTATAAAAATCTCATGTTTAAATGGATAATTATATTTATATTTGGAATTGAGTTTATTACTACAAATACTTTTCATAAATTTATTTTGTATCGTAGATACAAATGTTCTTGATAATGCTTAACCCTGACCACATTTTTTATTTTTTTCTATCCCTTATACCACTCTTTTTAGACCTTAACTTCTTAGAATCTCTCAAAAACTTAACGAATTTAAGTAATGTGTCAAGCAGCACTAGCCTCGTAGACAATAACAAGAACTCCACCTCTAATAGTCAAAACAAATCCGTCTCTCACACGCCTATACCAACTCCCTTAAATGGCATGGTATCAGAGAACGAAATTCAATCCATCATAAATGCCAATATAAATCTTCTAGGCACATGGCAAAAGCAACTTCAGGCCATGTCCTCCTTTTATTCCAAAGGATTTTTAGGCGGAAACGCACCAATGGGTAGCCTAGAAAATGGTGTTAATTCTAACAACCTGAATTATAACAATAATAATAACTCCTCCAATGAAAATACGACTCATAACTTTTCTAATAACAACTCAAATAACCTCCTTAACAGCCTGGCTCCTCTTTTGGGCACGATGAACGAGTCCACTGGCCACATTAACCTGAGCAATCTGGCAAATCTGACAAACTTTAACTGTTTAACCAATAATAACATATCCGCCACCTCTCATCACGACAGTATCAATAGTGAACTCAATCTATCGACGGCCAACAACCTCATCGACATTTTTCAAAAAGCAGCCGCCAATAATTTACTATCATCTTCCGACAATGCCCCACTCATTTCTAACCCCCTTTCCATTTTTCAGTTGCAGCAACTTCAGTTAGTTCAGCAGCAGCAACAACAACAAATAAATTACAATAATAACTCTAATGCTCTGCTGGGAGCTGTTCCGCCTTTATTCATAACCAACCAAGCCCAACAACTTCTTCATCAACAACAGCAAAGCCAGCTGCTCAATCATCAAACCCAAAAATTGGTGGCATCCTCCTTGCTAACTGCTCAGGACATTCAAAACGCCACCAATTTTTTACTTAATTCTGGCAACACCAATCTTGCTAATTCCAGCAATCACAATAACATCAATAATCCGCACCAAACTAGGGCCAGTCTTGACATGAGCAATACCACTACATTGAACTTTAAACATCTCGAATCACCTCTCAACGTTTTGCATGCAGCCAAAAATATAAAGAGAGAGAATCTGGAACTCACAGAGGAAGGTGAGGAAGAACCGGATCTCCCTTCCTCTTACTCTTCCGGAAACGCTAATTATCAACACGGCTCCCATATTCTTAGCCAGAATAACGCTGACAATTTCGGTACTTACGGGTCCTCATCTATTTACAATAACTGCCCGTTCTGCAACAAGACGTTCAAATTTAAAAGCAACCTGCATACTCACATTAAGGCAGTGCACAAGAAGATTAAGCCACACGTTTGTGGGATCTGTTCTAAATCCTTTAGTCTTAAGCAAAACATGAAGACCCACATGAAAAACATTCACCAAAAGCATCCTCACACGAATACCTCTTCCTCTACCCCCGGACAGGCCCTCAAGATGGAACCTACTCTTTCACCTCAGAGAACTCGCTCGGCCGGCTCCCTCGATTCTCCTTCAGCAATTCTCGAAGAGGAGAAACATCAGCATAATGATCACCTATCTCCCTCTAATTTGGGTATAATATAAGATTTATATGCATGTCTCTTACAAATATACAAAGATTTAAGAATTCAATTCCTACCTTTATAAACATTATTTTTAATTAAAACATATAATTATACCTCAGGGCATGTAGGTTAGTTGGGCCGGGAATTTTTTTTGGATGGACTGGACAAATTATCTTAATTATTTTTATAAGTTGGGCTAAAGCTATAAAAATATTATAAAGCAAATTTATGTCGTTTACATTCATAGAAAATTATGGACCAGGCCAAAAAACTTGTTAAAAATTTCCCATAGTTTGAGCCGCATTGTCTTCTACTCAGATAAGCAATTAACTTACATTGCACAACATTGTGCAATTCTTTTTATCTTATAAATTGATTAAATGTTACATTTCGTTTTATGTAGGTAACAACCCCCTTCAATTTCAGCAGTCATCCAGTAGTGGAGGTACATTTTCCGCCCTTGAGGATCAGTACCGCAACTTATTACTCTCTGCCGCTGCTGCTCAAGTTGCCATATTTGGCGGAGGTAGTTCAAATAATACCGCCAACAACACACACAACATACACGGCCTTAACACCTCTGGAAATTTGTCGGATCATCTTAATAAAAAAACGGCTCCTCCTTCTTTGATAGATGACAAAGCTCTTCTTTTCAACGACGTTGTTCTCATGATGAACAATAACAGTACCCAACAGCAGCTGCAAAGTGAACACTCTCAAGATCATCGCCATCCTCATCACCTTTACGATTTGCAGCAACATTTTTCCGACAACGAGCCGCCGATCGCAAAGAGACGAAATAAACCGGGCCGCAAGCCTAAGGCATATCACGCAGCGCTGTCAAGAGCCTCTGAGCCATCCCCTCACTTTGCTCCTTTTGACAACCCGTCTCTTTATAATAACGCCGTTGATATCAATCAAGACTCCCATAACGAAGATCGCGACAGTCTCGATACGAAAAGCAATATATTGGAAGAGTGTGGTCTCGAAACACCCCGTCCCGTGGGTGCCCCCCGCCGTAACCCTACGGATGGGAAAGACTTGATACGCTGCTCCAAATGTTCTAAAACCTTCACGCTCAAAGGCAACTATAATGTACACATGAGGATCGTTCACGAAAAGCTTCGCGAGTTTGAATGCCCCTTTTGTGGTAAACGCTTTGGACTGAAGGCCAACATGTATATGCACGTAGCCAATGTGCACAAAAACCGAAGCCTTAATCTCGTCGACTCCTCGCTTGAAAATTGTGGCGGGAGCGATACCGATAATAAACATGCTAGTATTTTCGCTAATAGTAATAATAATAATACCAGTCTCCCAGGGCACCCACATCCCGCCAACAAAAGGGGCCGACCACCACGGCGCAGTGTTCCTGACAATTATTCCGCTCCCGATAACATCGCTAACAATATTGACACTGGTCGACTAGTGAATCAGGGCGATGAAGATGTGAGGATACGTGATACACAATTCAGTAATCCTAATATCGTCAAAGGCCCTTCGTTCGATATTAGGTTCAACGGCAATAACCAGGGAAGTCTAACCCACCACTTCAACGGCAATAATCCTTCCAACCAAAATTCCTCAAATAATAATATTCCGAATCCTTCTAATCACTTTAACAACGTAGGCTCGGGGTCTAATCCAGTGCTCGGCAACCTGGAAGAAGAGGTGTTGGGTGGCCCCGGCCTAGTAGATCGAGCAACTGCTGCTGCCGTCTACCTTCAATACCTTCAACATCAGCAACAACAACACAATCAATACCAACAGCAACAGAATCAACAAAATCAGACTCAACCACCACCTATCCACCATTTGTCCTCTTATCCTTCTTCTTCTCTGCCCCTCTCCCAGCCACTCCAAATGAATCCGAACAGCAATAATTCTCTTCAAATGGGAGGAGGCCATCACCCTCACCCCCCATTAGTTTCTCAGCCACATCACCACCATCAAGGCGGACAGCAACAACAAAACGTGCATCATTTGTATCCACATCACGCCCCTCTTCACCACTCCTCCATCCCCGGCCCTCAAACCTCGACCCCTCACCATCATTTACTCAATCACTACGGCATGGGCGTGGCTCCGCAACGACAAATGACGTCGGAATAGTTAATATCGCTAAACGCGCGGATTGTTTAAAAAGTGTCCAGATTTCGTTACGCGAGTAACGAGTTTTTATTTATAGAAGAATAGGAATGCTAATTTTTTTTTAAAAAAAAAATCTCACCTACAATTTTTTTTGTGTGTGTGTGTGTGTAAATAGTTTTTTTTTAAAAAAATTTTCTGTGACTTTGTATCAATATATATATTTTTTAAAAAATAAATATTTTTTATCGAAATTATTAGAGACCTTAGAAGAAAAAAGGTTTCAAAATAAATCATTCTCATTTTTACGTATTTTTTTTTTTAAAAAAAATTAATATTTGTTGATCCACTAAAAAAAATGTATCGAAAAATTACTTCTTTTTTTTTCCTTCTTCGTAAAATGTTATTTATATTTAAAAATGTTAAGAAAACAAAAATTATTGAACAAAACGAAATCACGAGCTTAGCCAAAATTTAAGTTTTATAAACCACTTTAAATTATTATTAATAAAATATTCGAAACATTTATTTTACTTTCTTTTTTCTCTTCACCTCCTTATAAATTATCCTTTATAATTAAGCTGGAATTTTAAAATTTTTTTTATATAACGTTAGCATTCCTCAGTTGTCACCTTTTCAACTCTAAGAATCTGTCGGTCGAATTTTTTTTGGAAATCCCTACTCTTAAGCTCAATTTTGCTTTCAGAACCGTAAAATATTTTATATCTCTAAGCTAGTGTTGTTAAACGGCTGATTTGAGACGATTTTTTAAAAACGGCTAATTCAATATTTTATCCAAAAAAATATTGCCTTAAGCCTCGAGATTTCGCCAATAGATGTCCAAACTTCAGCCCCACCTATGAACCAAATATTAAGGCTTGCGTAATATTTTTCTAGGTAAAATATTGAGTTAATCGGTTTTCGGCTCAAACCGATACGTTTAACAACACTATCCCCTAACAAACCAACACGCTAAAATTTTTAATTTTTTTTTAACTAAAAAAGACTTAATTATTTCGTTTTTTTAAAAAAAATATTTAGATGAATATCATTTTGTGAATAATTTTTTATAATTATTTTTTTTTAAAAAAATATTATAAATTATTATTAAAATATATATATATAATATAATTATATTTAATAAATTATTATAGAAATTTCGAATTTTTTTTAAAACAAAATAAAACCATAATAAATCGATTTTTTTTAAATTATGATGATTATATTATAACTATACTATATTAAATATTATAAATTACTATGTAATATAAATAAATGTTTATAGTAAGTATATGATGCTTTATTCGCATACTTTTAATGATATTTTTCAAGTCATTCTTTAGTTTGGGAAATGTGTATGTATATCATAAGCTTACATCCTGGCAAAATTTTACGATTTTATTTGCAAAATTGAAAATCATATAAAGTATAGCAAATGGCAAAGTATAACCTATTTCCGTACCAACAAAATTACGAAACTTAATCGCTTACTTGGACGTGGTTTTGAGGTTTGCGGGTAGACGAACTTAGGCATATTTTTTTATAAAAAATGTTTAAAGTCCGCACTTTTTCTAAATTTTAAAATAAGATTGACTCGGTTCGGAAATATACAAAAACCGTTTTATATGTTCCCTAAAACTTTCATTTTTAATATGAAAAGTCTGCCATAATTAATTCGGCTAGTGTATCTAAAAAATTTTTATTAGGCTTTTAGTGATATTCATTTTTCTTTAAAAATCAAGATGTCATCCATATCTTATACTATTCGATAATTTCCAATTATGTACTTAATTAAAAAAATATTTGATATTTTTTTTTTAGGAATGACTTATTTTTTTCTGTTAATCGCATATCTAGAATGTTTCGAGAAAGGAGGATGACAAGTAAACGTGACAGCTTCAAAATTAGACTAGGGCTCATTAAGGCTAATTGGGAATTTCAAAGGGTAGTCGAACATTTTTGCATGACGTTAATATTCTTTTAACAAGTCCCATCCCCTCCCACCATTTAAATACACCACTGGAATCCGTGGGCAAAAAGTTTACTTATGGAAGGTAAAAATTAGTGCTGCAAAGTAACGTCGTTAAAAAGAACATTCCTCTGATAAGGATAAAAAAAAATTTCGACGAGAATCTGATTGAAGATTTCTATGATGATTGATCTGATAGGTTTTTTTTGAAAATAATGATGTTCCAATATTTTTAATAAATTCCCCCCAATTAAAAATTTTATTCATTGAATAATATACCATCATCCGCACCAGTTAAAGTGCCTTTAATATAAGAAAGCTGGATTGGGCACCAAGCACTCTGTTTAGCTGATCAAAATGTTGATAAATAATAAAAAAAATTATTAAGAGACGATTAACCTTTCGTTCATAGAGCGAATTATGTAAAATACGCTCTATTCTCAGTCGCGAAATCGCACTAACTGTGAAGGCAATATCCCCTCATTTGCACGAATTTGCGGCGAACAAAATATGACATAATTTTCACTAACTTTGAATTCAGGATTTTTATTATTGATGGGAAAAAGTTAAAAAGATTTATATCAAATATTTTAACGCGTTCCTTTTCTAAAACGTAACGATTAAGTTTCTTTTTTAAGTAGCGCCTACATCACTAGCTAAAAATAGGTCAAAGCAATTTTTAAGTTAGAAAGTTTTGATTAATATTTTATGGAGGGTAAAAATATATTGATACTCATAATTGTTTCCAAATCATCCCTGAAGGTAGCGTCTACATGACAGGATTTTCACTGGATCAAATTCACATTATTAATTACACCTTTTTAATTAAAATGGTAATTCTTTCATAAATTTAAAAATGAAAAACTTAAATTATTTTAGCTCTACTACTAACTATGGAAATATTGTGCTGTGAATATAAAAGTATTTTTTTAGATCATGAATTCAATTAAAACCCCCCTCATTTACAATGAATGCATTATAGCATATTGTTTGGCATGAATATGAGTTTGCTGAGAATGTTTAACCCTTTTTAATCACATTTACAAGGATAGCAGAGACATTATTTCGAAAATAATGTCTGATTCTTTGCAATATATAGATTTATTGGGTCGATGATCAGCAATATCATTGTATTTATAAATAAAAGTATTAATTTTTACAGCAATATATTGTGTCTAATTTCAACTAAAAATTTAATAGATAACCTCCCAATAAATTTATCCTACCCCCCTCAAGAAAAATGGATGCTAACTATTTCTACCCTCCCCACCACCCTAGCTCATGCAGTCGCAGACTGAAGGCAATTTTAAAATTTTAAAACTACTGACTTTTTCCTTCAAAAATTGGATGCATTTAAATAATATATAACAAACTGCTATTTCATTCAAAGGTAAAATTAATTTATAAATACTAACAATTAGAAAGTTCTGGAAAAAAATGTTTTCCCACCTATAGATAATGACGCAAACTAGGGTTAGGTAATTGGCTTTTGTAATTTATTTTAAAATTACATTATCAGGTTTATTTTTTTTTGAATTTGTTAAATAACGGAATATTTAAATAAAAAATTATTTTATAAAATAAGAAATAATTTCTTATCTATTTTCTTTTCGTTAAAAATTATTTTTTTATTTTGCGTTGTTCAAGTTTGATGAGGTAGGAGTAGGCTGGCACGTTGATTTTCTTAGTAGGAAAAAAAATATGGACAATAATTCTAGATTATATAAAGTGATGCTTATTTTTAACATCGCTATCATAAAATGTCGTGTATTCTATCATTTTTAAAAGTAAAATTTATCTATTTTATCCATAATATGGTATTTCCAACATTCAATTAATTAATTTTTATTTATATATTTACAACTGGACAACTAAGTTATGAGTAAATTATTTAGAGGGCGCGTTATTTTTTTTAAAGGGAACCTTATTTTGCCGGAATTCCGGCATGCAGAAAATACATCTACCCCTGTTAATTGCGGAAATCTTTTACCTTGGACTTTTGAACTTCTAATTTTCAAAATAAAACCCAGGCTTAAAATTTGAAATTTTTGAAATGTTCCCTTCATTCATATAATAAATATTTATTAGAAACATATGACTTTTTCCTCTTGAAATTTCGATATTCCTGCCTAGAGCCCTAAATGGATTTGTCACACATCTTGGGTTCGGTTCGAGCTTGGTCTTAATTATAAAACTTTTATCCCGAAGACTTTGTACCCCGGCAATTATATAAAAATAGAAAACAGTTATAGCGCATTAAAAAATTTTCCCACTTTCCTTCAAAATAAGCAATCGCGCCTTTTTCCTAAATGCTATAATTAACCATTTTTCCTCCGGTTTGAATTTTGATTTCTCTTTCGAGTTGAATTGGAAAACTATTTTTAAAAATAATGCTTAGCCGTGGAAATTTAACGAAGAAAAAGAAAACAAATTAATTGGCCTATTTAATTTTTTTTTTACAAATTTACCGCTTCGGCCTCGTAAAAATTCTGCGGTTCGTGGACCGAGCTTAGCTTCGGGTCACCCCGAGTTCTAACACTCGGGTCGGGGTAACATTTATAAAAAAAAAATCTAATTATTTACCAAAACTATATTGAAAATGCAAATATAAAATTTAGCAAAATTTTTCACATGATAAATATAGGTTGATAATAAAACATTCATTTTATTTGAAATATTTTGTCTGTCAAATCAATTCTAAAGTTCGTTGGGTTAACTGTATCTATTTAGGATTGCAATTTATTTTTTTTATCCTACCATTAAAAAAATAATGATAAGGAAGATTATTAGATATAGGTTAATTAAATGTGAGTATATAAAAATTATTTAACTGAAATTATCATGAGTGAGAAATTTTTTTTAACATACCTTTATGACATGTTATTAAACACGCATTAATGTCATTTTTTTTTTTCGTAATTATGGTTTTATTTTTTTTAATTAAAGGATAAATATAATAATATATAACATAAAATTTAATTTTTGTGGATGATAAATAAATATGATTAAATTATAAATTTTTTATAACAGTATTTCACGGGTTATAAATACGCACAATTTAATAGCTTATATTTTATAATTTTGTGTTCATAAAGTTAAATCTTGATTTTATAAAATTAAATTTAGAAAATCTTTTCAATCTCGGAAAATTGAAAATAAACAATTTTTTTTTCTTTTTCAAAAAAAATAAAATATTATATAATAATGAGACCTAAGGTAGATAGAATTATTTTATTTGAGATAAGAGCCCGGTGGTAAAAGGAAAAAAAAATTTGTGTAAGTGGCTCTATTTTAATATAATTAGATTTGGGATATCTCAAAACAAAATCTTTTTCTATAAAATATTCATTTAAATTTCGAAAATATCAAATCATGATGCATACTCTTTTCCATTTTAAAATGTGGTTCTTAGTTGAAATGGCTCCCAAAAGAAGTCGGTATAGCTAGATAATTTATTTTTTGGCCAAATGGCATTAAAGTTTATCTTTTACCAGATTTTTTCCAATCGGCTGAATATATTTGCTTCGCCAAATGATGGGGACTAATTAATAAATCTAAATATTTTACTACTCCTTTCATTTCATTGAAAAAAAATTTACAAAATTCCGGACCTGGTAAAGTTATTTTGCACGAGGTTTTCGGACCGACCCCAAAAAATATTTTGCCCAAAATACATAGTGACGTGACATTACATGATATTTGGTGGGTGCCGGGCTATGTAGACTATACCCTTCTCATTTAACGAAATCTGTAAAACGATTATTTATTTGATTAAATTTTGAAGACAAAGAAGTTAAATTCGTATTTCATGGGGGGGGGGGGTAGAGGAGGGCTGGAGGTTAAACTATTAAGAGTGACCTTGCCATCTTTTACTTATATCTCTTACATCACCATCTTTTAAAATATTTAACTTTAGCTGGAAAGAATCGAGCCCGCCAAAAGCGTAACATTTTTTGGAGTGCGTCCTGTCCAAGTTTTAGCGGGTTTCCGTATTTTTTAAAAAAAAAATTATATGACAAGTTTAATTATAAAAAATATGAATTTTATTTTTAAAAAAAATTAAATGTTGCTTAAAAAACATTTTTCGAGAAATAAGTATTTTTAGATCATGTATCCTTTCGTGTTTTAATATGATATATTTTACGCTGAAGGAAGGAATGAATGAAGGAATGAATGAAGGAATGAAGGAATGAATGAAGGAA